TGAAGGGAGGTCTAGGAATGGGGAAAACATAAGAACCAAGATGCATTATGTAAAGGTACAATTCCCAATGAGAAATGCAATTGTGTTGTATACCTACAATGTACCAATAAAAGAATTTAATTTAAAAAAAAGAAAAAATTTTACTACCTAGATTTTATTTTACTGCTATTTTTAAAAACTAAAAATTAAAAGTGAATAATACCATTAAAGCTTCTGTAGCAACAATGCATATATTTTAAGATCTAAAGAACATATATGAATAGGAACATACTACTATATTATGTTAAAGTACTGTGAGGTAAGAAAAATTCAGAGCCATTCTACAATGAAATATATCATCTCCTTGATTAAGTATGGTAATGAGATGATGATGATGATGATAATTTTTTATCAGTGTTTAATGTTTAGTATAGTCAGGTACTATTATAATCCCTTTGCATGTATAGTCCCTTCAAATCTCACCATAACACTATGAAATAATTATATACAATATTATTTACACCATGAAGAAACACTAAAGCCAAAAGGGTAAAACTCGGTGATTCCCCAAATTCCTCAACCACATGAGATGAAGCCAGAAATACAAGTTTTTGCTGTCTGAATTCAAAGCCAATGATTTTTGGCACCATGGTGGCCACAGGCTAACATCTTCTGAATTATATTTTACTGAAGAAAAGATATTTGGTAAGAAATAAGGAATGAAAGAAAGAGGTTATATAATAGAACTTCAAAGGAACTGGAAGTTACAGAATATTATGGTTGTTTAAAACTGGAGTTTAAATGAATGAGAGAAGCAAATTACCTTAGGATGGCTCAGGAGAAAATGGACAGCTTCCTCAAAATAGTCTAAATCCACTTCGTTCAGTTCAGCAGGCAGGTCTTCATAGCCATGGTAAGCCAAGGCCAAGGAAGCAAAGCCATGACTGGCCAGCAGACTGGCCCGGAATTCAATCAGTCCACCAGCATAGCCAAACAAGTCAATTACCCCTGGGAAACAGCCCTCTCCTGAAAAACAATATCAAATGGACTATATATGAAGAGATGGTGAGGAAAACAGTAAAAATAGGGATCCAATCCACTAGAAAGGAGTGCATTGGGTATGTAGAATTAATGCATAATTTTCGAAAAGAATCTCAAATATGGGGCACAAGCAATGCCTAAGTAATGTATAAGATACACAACATCTAGAAGTTTTGGGGGAAACCAGTTTCTAACATGTTAAACCCTGCAGCCATGAAGAATGAGGTTCATCTCTATAGTCTTAAAGAATATCATAAGAATTGGATGAGGGTTTCTAACCTATAAAAGGTACATGAATAGGGTTCAGGATATCTATAAAGGCCTTAAATTATATGCAAATACACACATACGCACACACACATATGCATCTTACTGATGAAAAGTGCCATAATTTGTATCTTGAATGTCCCATCAGGGCCTATGTGTTAAAGACTTAAATCCTAGATGATATACTTGAGAAGTGGTGGAACCTGTAAGGGGTAGGATGGAGTCTCCAGATCACTCAGCTGTGCCCACAAAGGGGATAGTGTCACTCCAGCGCATTACTTTTCTTTTCTCTTGCTTTATGGCCAGTAGGTGAGCAAATGTGCTCCACCACACAGATCTGCCAAGTTGTAACTGCTTTTCCCAAAGCAAAGGAGCCAAGTTCATGGACTAAGACTTTGAAAACTGTGAGCCAGTTTCTCTTTATAAAGTTTCTCTTTATAAACTTCTTTTCTCTTTTTTATATTTTCTCTTTATAAATTGATTATCTCAATCATTTATTACATAATCAAAAGATGGCTGATATAAGAAGTGGTTCAACAGGTTTAACTGGGTTCCCAAAGAAGATAATGGATCAATTATTTTTTGATGATTAATTTGGCTAAAACACTGATATAATACCACTCCATTACACTCATATGACTATACAGTGATGAAATTCTCCTTGTAAGTAGATGTAAAATGATAAGCTTTTTCATCTCAGAATACTTTCTATTCTTTGAAACTTAATACAGGGTAAAAAAAAATATCACTCAAACAGTATCACTCAACAGTCACTTATTGTAGTTATTGTACGTAATTTATTTCCAAAATAAATCAGAGCCCATAAACTAAAATAAATATACAGTGAACCTATCGAGAGTATTCAAGTATATATGTCTATAGCTAAGGAAGACTGGTCCCATCCATATTTAACTGAGAGGCTTGATTTTTGATGTCTATAGGAAACTTTCTAAAAAGTGCTCTATTGACTTTCAGAAAAGAAGAAATAAAATGATACTTAATATAGCTTAGTTTAAAAAAAAAAACCATTTGAGGAAATGAATAAGGATGTTTTTTATATCTTCGGATTAACAGAAATGGGATGCACATTTAGGACTGTGAGTCCTTTATCTAGAAAGAATGTTACATATGAGAAATATTTTGATACTTCATTCAACACTTCTTGATCCCACAGAACATTTTCTTTTTTTGTCCCACAAAACAAATGCCTGAAACATGATCCAGCATATGCAAAGTACTAAGGTGTTTGCCAAGTACATATAGTAAACTGGAATATCATCCTAAACTGGGAAGCCAGAACCAATCTACTTGTGTTTAGCAGGGTAAGACATAAAAGAACTGCTTTTGTGCCACTTCTTTGGGGTCTCTACAAACAAAAATGTGATCTATATGATAATTATTTGGTCTACAAATCTCACATTCATGCAAACAAGTCAATAATGGTGAATTTGGAAAGTCAAGCTGTTATTCCTCCTTCATTTATAATTCTATGTTGCCAAAAAACATCCTAATAGTTCAAGGATCCTAAATCCAACTCATTTCTACAAGTGAACTGTTATATATGAATATAAATACATAAATAAATAGATGGATGATAGATAGGTAGATTACATCCAGAAGAGGAAATGGTTGTGTTCTAGACCAAAGTATTTGTCTGAGGAATGGGATCTCAGAAAGATCTGAAATCTGGGCCTTCTGAAGTATTCTGTGAAATTATCTTTCTTTCATGTGTGCTCACGATGTACTCTGGTCAATAAATGTTTAAAACCACTTAATGGTATATATAAATCACTTAGGGGGAAATGAGTGTTCTGGTCAGTATTTCCACAAGAAAGCATGGTTCATTATCTTATGTGTGGAATGTTCTCTAAATAGATAATATATATCCAGAGATGAAGTGTCTACAAATCATCTATATTTCTTGCAAACTTGCAGTCAGTCTTATCACCAGCTTGTCACGACAATAATGCAGTAGTATACACTTAAACTGAAATTCATGGTTTCCACAATACTGAGATAAGAGTCTTCAGATAGCTAGGCTTCAATGCAGAAAACTTAACATGAATCCAAGGCTTTGGAAATCACATAGAGTCTCAATTAACTAGATGAATTTATAGCCTTACACGAGCTCCCAAATTATTGTAGTAAAACTTGAGTTAGAGCAGAATATGACAATGTGTTCTGATCAAAATGAAGCTTCACTCTAAGAAAGTTGGGTGATATGTATTAGGCACATTCAAGATAAATTTCTAGAGTGATGAGTCATTTAAAAGAAGAAAACACAAGATAACAATAAGCAGAGTCATTCTACTCACCTGGAGGAATAAAGAGGGCTCCCCGGAGGCGGCCTTCCCTCACCTGGATCCGTGTGACACCAGGTGCCACGTACCACCTTTCCAGGGTCAGGCTGGCAATTGGAGCACTGGTCAATTCAGATTTTACTGGAGGACGTGGTTCACAAACTTTTAATTGGACCTCGAATGGGCTATTTATCACATCTCTTTTTATCAGTCTTGTTAACAGCTTTTCAGGTTTCAAGGACCAGAGGAGTCCCATGGGGTGGATTCCCACATAGTCACCTCCAAGTGCAGCATCACGCTCCAAATCTACCTCACCAGCTTCATTGGCCTTATAGTAGGCCTCAGAATAAAACAGGTTGCCCTTTTCATCTCTCAGTGACGCCTGAAGACTCACCATCTTGAAAGGACTCAGGCCTGTAACGCGGATATGGACGGGCTCATCAGCAAGTGCACTCAGAGGAGTAGCTGTCAGCTGAACCATTTTGCAGTGTGGCACATTGAATGAGTCCTCAGGAATATCTTTAATCAAACCTCAAAATAGGTAAAAAAAAAAATATGTATATATATATGGAGTAATGGAATAGGTCATGATGAGTTAATGATTTGTGAACTGGAAGTTTATAATAATCAACCAGGATTGAGGTATTAGCAGTCCAAATATACCAGAATTGCATGAGTACATCAAGGACAATAGTACAATCTGTCAGGTGGAACTGGAAAAATCAAAGATAATAGAAGATAGGGCTGAGATGTGGGGTTTAAAAAAGTGGAATTTAGTGAACACTTCTTTATATGGAACACTTGACTGCACTACTAATCACCTCCCTCTGTCCCATAATCACATTACTGAGCTTCTAAGACTGCACCACCAACAGAGCAGTAAAAACAAGAATCTTCTCAAGAGAATGAGTGTTTGGAAGAACTAGGTTGATGTGTGTATTCTATCCTAGAAAGAAAATCTATTGCTTTGGGTTTTTTAAAAAAAGTTATTAATATGTGATTGCAGTACATAATTATTCCATTCACTGTATGGAATTGGTATATGTACAGAATATGTTTCAATTCTTTTTTACCCTTCAATCCACTCCCTTTTATTTTCCAGCATCAGATTAATTTTCCTATCTTATAAGACTTTATAAAGTTAATTATCATATATACAGTTTAAAAAGCAGACTAATAGGCCAGAGAACATATAAACCACATAAGATAATTGTACTAAGTCAACTAAGTCAAGGTACACTGTTAGATACATTGTCTGTGCTGGATAACAATAATTATTTTTCTGTCTTTTATTCTTCCAGCACATATATATATATAAAATATGAAACTATGTAAGAGAAACAATAAAATATTTAAGCTTGTGTCTGATTTACCTCACTAAACATGTTAACATTATGGTCTCAAGACTCATCCATTTCCCTACAAATGACTCAAGTTTTTCCTTCTTTATGACAGAGTAATACACCATTATTTGTAAAGACTACATTATTTTTATCTGTTCACCTGTTGATGGATATGTAAGTATTTCAAAAATGTAGCTATTAGGAATTGAGCTGCTATAAACATCAGTATGCATACGTCACTGTAATATGATATCATTAACCCTTTTAGGAATATACACAAAAGGGGAATAGCTGAGTCAAATGCAATTTCTACTTTTAATTTGTTAAGGAATCTCAATAGTGATTTTCATAGTGATTGTACCAGTTTACAGTTACACAAACAATGAAGAAGAGTTCCTTTCTTTCCACAGCCTCACTAGCATTCATTATTTGTTGATTTCTTGATGGCAGCTATTCTTTCTGGAGATGGAATCCTACTGTTGTTTTAATTCACACTTCTTGAATGACCAGAAATGTTAAACATTTTCTCATGTATTTATTGGCCATTTAAATTTCTTTGTCTGAGAAGTATCTATTCATTTTAGATGTTCATGTATTAATTGGGTCTTTAAATTTGGGGGAACTGATTTTTTTGAGTTCTTTATATATTCTAGATATTAGTCTTTTGTCTAAAGTTACCTGGTAAATTTTTTTCCCATTTTGTGGGATGTTTCTTCACTCTGTTTATGGTTTCTTTTGCTGTACAAAAGCTTTTTTGACTTGACGAGATCCCAATTATTGATGCTTTATAGTATTTCCTATGTGATTGGGGTTTTAATCATAAACTCTTTGCCTATATCTATGTCTTCAAGAGTTTTACCTATTCTATCTTCCAGCAGATTCAGTGTTTCTGTTCTAATTTTAGATCTTTGATCAATTTCAATTTTGGTATAGTGCATGGTGAAAGATATGTGTCTAGGTTTAATCTTCAACTTATGGAAAGCCAGTTTTCCCAGCACTATTTATTAAAGGCCATCTTTCTTCCAGTACAGATGTTTGGCCCCTTTATCAAAGATAAGGTGGCTGAGTGTGCTTGGAGTTGTTTCTGCATATTCTATTCTGAATATTGCCCATACCATGATGTTTTTATCATGGTAGCTTTGTAGTATAATTCCAAGTCAGGGATTGTGATGCCCCCTGCCTTGCCTTTGGGCCCAGAATTGCTTTTGCTATTCTAGGTCTCTTCTGGTTCCATATGAATTTTAGGATTATTTTCTCTAAGTCTGTGAGGTAGGGTGTTGTTATTTTTATTAAGATTGTATTAAATCCATACAACAGTTTTGGAACTATGGCCATTTTCACTATATTGGTTCATGGCTACCTAAAAATAAGGGCTATTTCCATTTTCTGATATCATCTTCAATCTCTTTTTTCAGAGGACTTTAGTTTTCAATGTAAAGGTCTTTTACTTCCTTTATCAGATTAATTTCTAAATATTAAGTGAAAAGTGTTGTTTCCCTAATTTCTCTTTCAGTGAGTTTGTTATTTGTCTTCAGGAATGTTATTGATTTGAATATTGACTTTGTATCCTGCTACACTACTGCATTTGATTATTAATTCTGAGTCTTTTGGTGGAGTTTTAGGGGTCTTCTATGTAGA